AATACAGCGGCGGCGACATCGGCGGAGGACACGGAGGATTCGGAGGCGGCGGCTACGGTGGCGGCGGTCACGAAGACTGGGGAGGTCATTAGTTGACGAGGATGATGTCGGGGAAATAGGGGTAGTTCTCTTCGCGAATAACGTGGTCGGTCGTTTGAACAAATGAAAGATGGACTCGTTCGCTTCGTCCTTGTATCGGTAAAACAGCTGCGGGAAATTTGTACCTTGAATGGTCCGTTCAGTGTATCGATGATCGCGTCATTTTTGTTAATACGGTCGTTTAAAGACGTGGAGCATTGAAGAACTGAGAATATCGTTGATTCATGAATTTTTAGTTTCTTTCGATTCGGTACGTCTAATGGATATTCGAAAGATGTTTATAAGAGAATTACCTAGGGAAAAGTTTGTAAATTTTCGTGAATATCGACTGAGGGACTTTCGTAAAGTGAATCGGGGAAGTTAGTCCCATTTGAAGCGAGATCGAGAAACCTGATCGATGAATGAGAACGCTTTGTATAGGTAATGTAAGAAGAGAATGTTTGGGTTTGGTATTCATTTCGTTCACTGGTGAAATCAGGGGATTGAATTATCGATCCCCGAGAAACCGACATGCACCCCCCCTCGCACGACAATCGTAGCTTCGTTTTAGTGAAATTGTATTAGAGAGATAGATACTTTCTCACATTGACTGGTGTTTCCCGGGGAGTGCCGCAAAACCACGCCTTAAATCACACCGACACACTTAACCGTCCTATCTCTTACCTCTCGTCCTAGTCTATTCATTAATCTGTCGACACATCTCTCACGTACTCACATGTAAATATTGTTAACTCGTTTTGTTTTCGTTTGTCTACTTCGTTGTTATTAAACACTGTACTTGTTGCCTTTATCGCATCCGTTAACCGCGACTCGGATAGTTCGTTTGTATGTCTCACGTGTCGCGAGAAAGTTGAATAAATTGCGTGTGTACCTGAAACTCACCCCCGTCATTGCCCTCCCTGGAATATTCCTTGATTTAATCATTCTCCCATTGCGCCTCGTTTCTCTCAACTTCGAGTAATATTAAACCTCACACGTTCGGTCTGTATATACAATATTTAATCGAAATTTCTTATATCCAGATGGCAATACATTTTACGGTGCCATTGAAGAATACTTAATTAACCTAGAGCCACTATGTTCTACATATCGCACCGATCTTTCATTCAAGGAACTCTCAAACTTTTACCGTCATTTCATTTCTTAACCAGTTAACTGTGTTTGAGATTGTTTATTTTTCGAGACAAACACGTAATTCTTCGTTTCCCTTTAGTTCTTCGTTAGGATACATTTCAAGTGCATTCGGCCTAATTTAACGAGTATACACTTCATTTGATTTTATTGCGCAAGGAGAGATTCTTCAACTAAATTCCACACTTAACTGGTTAAAAGCTTCGCACAACTTAGTAACAAATATTCAAACCCTAATTACTACTACTTATTACGATATATACAGAATTGTACTCTCAACCAGGTCATCGAAAAAATCTACGATTTCCTTAATGTCCGGTATCTCCGTCTCCCATCCCTTTTGTCTCTAGCACCCTCGTACTCGACGTCATCGACAAGATACCGTCCTGCATCGGTCTTCCCCTCGAAATCTTCCTTGAAACCGTCGTTCTCAGCTTCGTCCTGTTCCTCGTGGTGGTCGTCGTGGAATTTACTCGACTGGTCCGTGCGAACGTGTCCGCTCTCCGTCTCCAACCCCTTTCTATACCCTTCCTCGTAATTGTAAGAGAAAGCCTCCCCGTTGTGAGGCACATCGTTCACGTCTTCGTGAACCGCGTACTGGCCATGCTCGGGATTCTTCGAGTTCTGCTCCAGATTATTGTTCTCGTGGTCGTATTGCGGAGAATAAGAATCTTTGTAACGATCGTACGGAGGAACGTGCTTCTTGTGATCCTGCGGCTCGCGATCGCTTTGGTCCTCGTGACCTTCGGAATGCTTAATCTCGCCGCCCTCGTTCTTGTAATCGTGGTGGTGCCCGTAATTGCTCCAGGAACTCCAGTTCTCGCGATGATACTCCTTGTGATGGGATTTAGGCTTCTTCGGCGCGGGTCTGTGCACGTGCAGGAACACCACCTTCGTGTGAATCAGGTGCTTGACGATGTCTGGCACGTGGATCTTCAGGTGGACGCTGTAACCGAAGGGAGGAGATGAGACGTTGGATCGAGTAATACACCTAAGATGGCGTTCGTTGGTAAATAAGAAAATTCCCCGTGATCCAAGAATATTAACAATTGATTTGAAACGTCGCAATAGAATTGTCCAACCGGAGGAAACGAAAGGTATCATTCTTTTCTCGTTAGGAACTGGAGGTATTAACCCCTTGCACTCGACGATATCTTTCATTGAAAATATTCGTTACTTTCTGACTGAATGTTAACGATATTTTTCGCTAACACAACTGGTTGTCTTCTATAAATTAAGAGACAGAACTGTTTTACTTCGATGTTTCATGTGTTGATACATTACACAAGGTTTGATGCTGAATTGGAAATTTTATAAGTTTGCTGCTTCGAATCAAAGTGCGAAGGGTTAAAATCACGCAACGTGTATAGGCTTTGATCAATCTAGGATTGATATTTTAATGACACGATACAATACAAACGCGTTAACGGTACGCTAATGCGGATGTTTACGGTATAACTCGCGAGATGCTCAAGTCGGTTACACGTTCCAGCGAGAACGAGAGTGCGTCGCGCGGTCGTTGATCGATATCATCACCGGTGAAAGTGTGAATCATCGATGCGCTGTTTTTCAGCGTTTAGTGATCGACGAACGAGGATGTCGAAGAGGATCTTAACGCTTGTTGTACTCACTGTCTTTTGCCAGCGCATTCGTAGCTTGTCACTTGGATGAGCAACGTCAAAAAGAGGTAATTGAAGATTCTCTGAAAACAGGATTAACGGTGAAGTAATTGTTTATATCTGATTAAAGATAATAGGGCGCAATGTTGTAGTTACGAACTGAACATATAATTCAGTGGTAAATCAACGAAGAACTTCTGCAACTAAGTTATAGATCATCGCACTTCCGAATCGCTTCTGAACACTATTGAATCACTCGAACCGAAGAATCTATTTCATATCGCTGCAGAAGTTCTATCAGTTTCCAGTTACCTTGATCATGACTCCCAACGAACTGCCTTCGAACGGAATGGATGACGAGTGGCAAACGCTGTCAGTAGCAAAGTGCACGACATTGTCGAGGATGCTCCTTTATATTCCGCCTCTGTCGGCCGCCAACTGCAGATCACAAACGTCCTGGAACCGCGGAACTGCATCGAATCCGACGGAATTTAACGGCTGACCAGCCGCTTTCGCCGTTTCGATGAGACATGCTTCATCTGCCAATTCGCTTCGAATGATATGCTCTGGAAAACGTGTGCACGTGGTCAGTGAAGTTCATTGCCACCCGGAAATCAATTATTGATAGATATATTACCCCTGCTTCGTGAGTTCGATTTAAAGAAAGTGTATCGTTTCGTTCCTTATCTATTCTGTAATCGACAAGATCGATAACTGGTCGACGAAGGTTATAGAAAATTATGGAAATTCTATATGATTCGACTAATTCTGGTTTGTTCTTTGAAATGTTCATACACTCGAGTTGATCATAATTGACCATTCCTCGGATTCTTCAGACTTAGATTCCCGATTCGTCTTCGTTAACAATAGGTTTGCGGAACGCGTCAAATTGACGCACATTGGATTTTAGAAATATTATTTTGTAAATTTTTACGCCGATTTTGCTTGATGCGATCACACTGACGTGTACCCCAATTACCTACTGTCAAATCTCCAGTTTCCACAATCTAAATAATTCTTTTAGGAATAATAGAGTTAATAATAATAATAATATCTCTATTATTCTTTTAGGAATAATAGAGTTAATAATAATAATAATATCACTATCATTCTTTTAAGAATAATAAATGCCCGTGAACCCAGTGTCGAATAATTTGAAAGAGGTAGTGAGTACGAAGCTCGTCGAGAATGACAATAAATTTAATCGATAGTATCACACTGCTATTTAATAAGTTCGTTCTTAGCAATACATAATCTTAGGTAACAATACTGTTCGATCGCATTTGTACATCCATTATCACTATGCTTTGTCTTTTACGTCTAACGCCTGCAGCCGCGCGTTTATTGGCCACCGAGCACATGATTCGATTAAATATCATATTTGTCGTCGTCCTCCAGGTCCTCTTTCTCGTGGTGGTCGTGATGGTCGTGGTGCTTGTGCTCGTAATGCGGTATGAGCTTGTAAATCGTGTGCGTGTGCTCCATCTTCTTCACTCTGTACGGCACGTGGATAATCACTTTCTTCCTGCGCAAACGAACGACGAGCATTATTATTATTTCCTTCGACAATCTCGAAGGCTATCAGTTAAATGTAAATGTACTTACGATTCTACCGGTTGCTGCAGCAGTACGAGGAGTATCAGCAGGACGATGCCAAACTGAAAAGGAAAGAGACATGATAGTTCTATGATCATGATCTTATATAATAGGTCTACTAAGATGTCTCAAGAAACACTGCAAAGTCTAGTGATGAAGTTTACAGCGTAATTCTACTCAAGAATTTTAATCTTTAAATTCTACTTTATTTTAAGATTTATTCTACTTTATTTATTGTACTCTACATTACTTTATTCTACTTTATTTTAAGATTAAAGTTCTTGAGTAGAATTTTAAGATTTTTTCTTTAAAATTCTTTCTTTAAAATTCCATCCTATTCTATAATCTCCCATCGTTATTGTACTAATAATTCTATAACTCTATTATAAAAGAGAACAACGGAACCTAATTTAATATCCAGAATCTCCTAATGACACAGAGTAAGCACCAATTTAACCCTTTGCACTCGAAAGGTGACTCTCAGTCACTTGATTTGATTTGCAAAATTATAAAGTCTTATATATAATATTGAGCTTAATATATGGAATATTGAAATAAAATAACTTTCCTTCTTAATTTATACAAGTTTTCTCATCAATCAGTTTCAAAGGATATCGTCTGTATCTCATCGGAAAATATTGAATGTTTCTAGTGACAAACTATCGAGTGCAAAGGGTTAACATATAGTACAGGAAAACGTGTTAAAAACGGTGACGCGGCGGTCAAAGTGTTAATGGAAGTATACCAGACGAAAGTGTCGTACCAAGAACGTCCCTCTCATTGTGCAGGAAACAATGTCGATCGAGTGGTGCTCGCTTCAGCAACAGGCCGGAGAAATGGGCGCCTTCTGCGTGGCGGCGCACCGAACTCTACGTTTATATACATGCAGTTGAAATTAGCGAGGCGGATCATTTCATAAAGAATTCCGAGAAACCCTCCCGCCACCGTGCAAGGATCTCGCTTGTCG